AGATTGAGATTGAGTAACGCACATTAACAACTAAGCTGTGCCTCCTCTCCGCCTGTCTGTCGCCTTCCATCACTTTCTAAATCCCATTGACTCACCTACTCAACCTGTATGGATAGCCTGATGCTGTATACAGTATAAGGCCGGGAGAGACAGAGAAGGAAAACCGATAGAGAGGCAGACAGGTGCAGCTGGTTCTGCAGATCAGTAAACTCCTAGCTGTACACTCACTGACCTGAGATAACTATTTTTAGAGGCAACAATTGCTGCTGTTTTGTCAGATGCCACAATGCATCTACTTTAAGCTTGATATTATCAATAAGTGAGGGTTTCAACATGGGACAGCAGCACCTCACCAACACCACAAAGACCTGCAGTTACTCTGATCGATCTCATTACACTACTGATGATTTTACTTTTACCAAATGTGTGGGAAAATATATCACAAGGAAATACATGGACAGACACCAAACAACCCTGTTAGATTGCTTATTGAGATGAAAGAGGTTAACTAATGCTTATGGACGAAACAATGAAATTATTCTCTTTATGAGAAAGTCAAAATAATGATGGCGTCTTTTCAAAGAGCCCATCTCCTTTCCCATTCTTAAATTTTCTGTCCTCTTTTCTCCCAGCTCTCATTTGTCTCTCTTACAGCAGCTGTTGCTAGGCAACAGCTCACACCCACATATGGATATTAATACTTGTATCATCACGACACAGTCAATGAAAATACTAAATATAAATATAAGGGTAATGTAATACTTCCCTTTAGGATCAGCAGATCAGTAACTATAAGGTGATTTACAAAAAATGATTAGTAATGTGCTCTACATGTTTGTTAGAGGATGAGTAAAACAATCACTGTAATGCGCTTATAAAAACATCCTGTTCAAGTAGATTGGTTTTAGTTTATAATAATGACCTTGGGGAAAACTTGTCCGAACGTAGTTCTGTTCTGCCATCAAAATAAAACCACACACATGATAACCTCAATGAGCCGTGAGAATGGACCAAACTGAACCAGCGGTGCCAAACATCTGAAAGCATCGTGCCTCACAGGAATCAGATTACAACCATTTAGTCTCAACAACTATATCGGCAGGTGCACACGCGTCACCTCAGCTTTTGTTAGAAAATGAATGAAAGCGGCAGGTGACTGCTGAATAAAAGGAAGGGCAGGAAGAAAAAAAAAAAGAGTTTAGTAAACACAATAAAGTGGGGAAGAGCATGAACAGAAAGCTGTGTGTTAGAGATACTCAGACATACCTTAAATATTCTTTCATGCTCACCCAATCATGCACACACACACATACAGCACTGGCACAAGTTAAGACCTGCAGTGGGAGGGTGTGTGTTTCAGCACCATGTGTGGGAAGACAGACAGGACTGGATCTCTGCTCTTCTTATTGCTTTAACTCCAGAATGACACAGAGGAACAAGAAACCTGGTACACGACTCATTCCAGTATTATGGGAAATTTGGCCATGACTGTCTTTAATTACCTGGCAAAGTCACATAATGCTGACAACAGACCTGCTCCCTTTTTTTTTTTTTTTTTTTTTAAATAAATGTGCACTTAAAAACATGCCAATTTTTAGGCTGCGTTGCGTTTTGGGAGTTATGAAACCTTGAAAAGAGTCTCTCTTTAGGACACACCACGTTGTCTTGATTCAAAACTTCAGGCATTTGCTCTTGATGGCACACAATCTCCTCAAGATGATTGTCTCTGTCTTCTCTGTAACTGCCATCACCTTTGCCTTAAATGATTTTAGGTGCATGGCTTTGTCACGTGCATTTGCCCTTTGGACAAGGCCAAACGTATGTTGAGGTAAAACTGTGCTGTGGTTGCAAGTGTAACTGTCATTTTTTGCAGGGGAACAATGTGCGAGTTTAAATGCACACAAGTGTCCTGGGCCCTGTTCTTCAAATGCAGTTTGGCTAATTCAGGCTAACGTGCCGTTATCAGGCTGAAATAATCCCGTTAATTCTCATCGAGTTCATTTGGTTCTTTGAACAGAGTTTGAGGATTGATTTGTTAATCTTGGATGAAGTTATAATGAACAACAGAGCACTCTTAATTTGACATAAATGCAAAATGAGTAGCTAAACTGATGAGAAAGAACGTAATGACGATCTACATGCTGAAATAAATGACACTGGTCACAAGATGGAGAAACCAAATTCAGCAGTGTCCTGGCAGCCGGAAACCAAACTCAGCATATGACGGATGATCAGAAACCTGGTAATATTATATGAAAAACAAGGTCTCTCATGCTCCATGTTTAAGTCATATCCAAAATATGAGCAAGGACAAGACTCAAAAATGAGAAACGAGTGGGCATGTAAATGTACTCCACTCAAAATTGAAATTGAAAGAAACTGAATGTATCACAGCTATTTGTATGTAAAGGACACACAGGTACATTACTATAATTATCACTTTTTCATCACTATCATCACGATCACTGTATTACGCAATCACATTTTTCCTGCTGCTTGTAAACCTGATCCAGGAAAACATCAGCTTCCTTTGTCAGTGGTGGAATTTTCCAAATAACAATCCTCATAAGATCATGGGAAAGTGAACCAGGCCGAAAAAGGGAAGTGACTGAATGTGTTCTGCTTCTCTGTCTCTTCCTGTGACCTTCCATCCTGAGCCATCCATCAATTCTGAAAGCCTGTCTCGCTCAGATCCTTTGTCGTTTGCCACTGTCTGCCAGCTCACTCAAATCACTGTCTATTTGTTAGTCTGTGGACATGCATAATGTTCAACATGCATGGTAAGTTGTGTGTGAGAGAGAGAGAGAGAGAGACAGAGAGAGAGGAAGAGGGAGAGGGATAATGGCAAACAGAGAGAACAGACAACACTCAACAGACGCTGACACAGAGAAACAAAAGAGCAGACAGGAAAAAATAAAACTCGCGAATCTAAACATGTCTTTGTCTAGAAACAGAATATAGGCCACTAACATTCTGCTCCTTGTAAATAACACACTGACCACATATCTGCTGCCCATCAAAAACTGACACAATTAACAGGGGATCCCTGGCCTGGATGCTGTTAGAATCTCCTCTGCTAGTTTCCAGTCGGCCTGCACAGGACTGCAGCCAGACTGGCACGTGGACCGAGTGTGGCTTCAACCCTCCAGCGGGCAGGCGAGGGACCAAACAGCTGGATCTGTGCCCAGGATACGAGCGCCATCCCTGCAGAGAGAGAGAATGAGCGTACCCCTCTCCCTGCTGCCTCTCTGTCAACCAGGCCATTACTACTGATGCTACTGCTGCTGCAAGGGCATCTCCTCTCCAGTCTGCTACCACAGAGACACACTGGGTGACTGCAGGGCCGCCTCTGTGAGCATATGAGCAGACTGCACCCAACCTGTATGCCATGCTGCAACACTCACACACAGGAGTAACCTCTCACACACCCTCACATTAGAAGGACTCAATAAAAGAGTGCTCTTTACTAATTAATTGAAGCATGACATTAGGAGTAAAAATCAATTCAGATTTCTACACTCAAGCAAAATGGATCCTCACTGTGCGAGGCAATGAGTGTCTCTCCTCTCATATGAGCAGAGCTAACGTTACAAGCCACATTCAAAAATCACACAATCACACGGGAACCACCGACACACGCGTGTCTTCCAGCAAATGCTTGTTTTAACCATCAGATCATTGATGACATTAAAAAAAATCTAAGGAATACGACTGAAGATTTGAAAAAACAGAAAATTAGAGAAAAACGGAGAGAAAAACGGCATCATGCTGTTGAACACATGTGTGTGTGTGTTTAATGCCTGAATTCACCCATGTATCATTTGCTCTGTTGATGCCACCACATATTCTGCATGAGAAGAAGCGTTCAGCCCCCGTCTCAAAAAAAAAAATCATGCGTAAAAGAAGGTGTGCCATTTTTGCGCACCGATGTGATGTGCCTGAGAGGAGCCAGCCTTACCTGAATCGGGGGGAATCTTTTATACATTCTTCAAAGTCCACCGTCATTTTTGCGTTTTCTCGTGTATTCCCACTTCAGTCTACAAATGTCATTGCCCGCAGCGGGATGTCGCTTGAACCTTTGCGGATGGTGACTGGTAGCCTATCCCCGGACGCGCAGCAGTCTGTCGCCCCTCTCCCGGTGGCACCGTGACACAAAATGCGAGCTTAAGTGCGCGGCAGACAGATTACTACTACACTGCTGCCGCTGTTGCCGAGACGGGCGAGAGGCGTAGCTGCATCGTGGAGACTAAAGGGGGAGACGAGAGCGCCGACTAGTTCCAACCTGCCGTAACACTGTTTGACAAAGCAGGAGGAATCATGGGAGGAGGGATGATATCTAGATAATTTTTGCCTTATAAAGTTTATTTCACGAATATAGCCTAACATCTTAAGTAGGAACAATATAGCCCGATAAAAACATAATAAAGTTTATATATGCCTATTTAATAATAATAAACAGAATAGATTAATGCAAACTTCAATCTTATTCGTTAATTAAGTATAAATGTGATAATCAGCTTCAATTTGAACTTTATCTCCAAGGAGAAATTTATAGCAGCCAGTTAAAACACAGAACACTCAAAACCTGAACCTAAAACGTGTTAAAATACTTCAAACATATTACTAAAGTACAGTATCTGAATTATTTACTTTAATCCAGAAAATCAGACTTTAATCTCGGATTTCTGAGTCTATATTGTAGGCTACAATAATGAAATGAAACGATAAGAAATTCAGTGTAATTATCAGGCTGAGATTTTATTTAACAGGATGAGATTAATATCAATTGTCTGTTGTTCTTCCTCTTATTCATGTGGATATTAAAGTGGTCTGTTGATTTTGTTGACTGGCTTTAGTCCACTCAGTTAACCCATCTCCACTAAATTATAAAGTCTCTGGCTTCAATGAGTTCAGAGCAGATGCTTTTGCGACTGGCCAGTCGTGGATGACGACATACACACCCTCTGTAGATTATGACGCAAACAAAAAGGGACCGACAGCATGGACCGCGGCATGGATAGAAGAAGTTGTCACTGCACCTAAAGCTATACAGTATATTAACGTTTATATCTGCAGTTCATTTGTTGTATATAGATGAACATAGACGTAACACACTATACATTCAGAAGCCATGCTGTTCGGGCGGGCTGTGGTCAAACATGTTAGCAAAGATGTCCGGACCCTGGATGTGCATCTGTCGTTAACTTGTGTGACATGCTAAATATCACAGCGTGTTTATTTAACACAGTGCGTTTTTGTGGGTTATTTTATGGAGATGATATTAAGTATAAAATACTGACTAAAGCAATGTACTAACCTGCGCTGTTAGTGGAGTGTTTGACGTACTTCCGGACTACAAATACAACTATGAACCTACCTGGAAACGCGGGTCGTGTCGACGCTCTAGCTGCTGTGTTGTCTCTGCTGTAGTCTGGCGCATCTGTTGGGTCCAAACACGAGTGCTTCAGCAGAGGTCTGTGAAAGTCGACCTCTACACAAAGACTGGGACTATAGTCAGAGCTGCGATGTTTGTGATATGAAAGTTTGACCCATAAAAAGTTTTTTAAAAAGATGTATCGTGTCACTGTTGCGAACACGAGCAACATGATCAAAACGTGTCAGACATTTGGAGAGACCATGCATACCTGGGCACGTTACCTCATATTTTTTCAATACATTGGAACAAAATACAGGTAGGTCACACTACAGGATAAGTTATTACATTTTAATGTGTCCTTTTCTATAAAATAATTAACCGTTAATTATTTGATAATTATTACATCTGCAGTGGTGCAGTCAGAGTGCCTCCACATCAGCTGGAGAAAAAAGGGATCCAGAACCACTTGGAGGTGAGGGTTTTGACGAAATTATTATATTATATCTTCCAGTGTGCATTGCTTTATTCCTTCCTTCTTTCCAAAATCAGTTTGTGTCCTGCAAACCATAAAACAAGCTAACTAAGTCATTAAGTTCATATCATCCAATACACCGAAAATGTTATTCTGATGATCTGTGCCCTTTGCTGTAAAGTTGCTTCAGCAGATTGTGTTCTTAGTCTGGTTCATGATGAATGCATGAAAACTAGGGCTAACACGATATGCAAAAAAAAAATGATATTGCGATTTTTTTTGGCAGATATTGCGATATGAGATTTCAGTTGGAATAGTTGTTTTCGCATTTCATTCTCACTGAAATGATGGTGTGATTTTTGTTGGCTCTTGCACCAAACAAACATGTTCCTTTATGCCTGGAGATTGTAGATTGTTGATTTGTAGGCCGGGACATCTCTGTAGCACCACAACGTTTATGGTGCTAACAATGCACAACAATGTGACACATTTTACCTTTCTCAAAAAAATTCCAGCTCCTGTGATTTGGATATTGCACTCGGCCATATTGCGATTTCGACTATATTTCGATTAATTGTGCTCCCCTTATGAAAACCATGTTATCATAAGATTGATAATACATAACATTTGTATGCGTAAAGTTATACTCATAAATGCATGGAGACAGGCAGGTTGTGTCATAGCTACCAAGTTAGTTTCTATGTGAATTACACTCAGTGTCCACTTTATTAGGTACACGTAATTCACATTTGTACAGTCTAATGCAGCAGCCCTGTAATAAATCCTCCCTTCATGAAGGTTGTAATAGTTTTTATTGAAACTGTCGTATGGTTTTTTTTTTGGAGGCTGTAGTGCTGTGGTGCTGTGGAATTGCGTTGAACTGAAAGGTCTTTCTATTATTTTGTCCACCGCATTTATATCAACGAGCATGGCTAAATAATAGAAATATCTCTCTACACAGTGTAATTCAGTTCAATAGCCTGTAAATATGTAAACAGAAATTGTGCATACTTCTTCGGAGCACAAACTAAAGCATCCATCAGTGGTGTCGACACTTTCAACATCACAGTGTCAGCTTTGTGCTGGTGGTGGTCAGTTTTATAAAGCACAGTTTTGTTTGATAAAATGACAAATATGAACAGTGATAAGGATTCAACTACACAGTGGTTACAGGAGCTCATTCAGCTCAGCTCATCAGTCTGCATTTTGGTGATTGGAGAACATTAAATATGAAGGGAGGACACATGCACAAGTCGGGCAAATAAGTGACTGAGGGATACTCACTGACTTAACAGCATACAATGTCTTCAGTGGTACCTAATAACCTTTTGGTCCAGGGGTTAAGCTGTCGACAATGAAGTGTAATTTCCCCAGTTCACATTAAGCCAGAGACCTTTGCTGCATGTCGCTCCCCATCATTCTCTCCCCTTATTTCCTGTCAGCTCTCTACCGTCTATCTAATAAAAATGTAAAAATGACCAAAACCATATTAGCAAAAAGTGCTCACTCAGGGGAAGCTCAGATAACACAGCAAAGAGGATGACAGACTTCCTCAGTCACATCATACAGCTGTTTGCAGCTCTACTTGATACTCTTCCTCTGTAACTTATCTGTGTCTAAACTACAATGGTTTCAGTTCTTTAAGTTTTTTAACTTGATTACGTTTTTACAATATAACAACCTGCAGCTTTTTACTTCTCTGATATTCTCTTTGTTTGTGAGCAGGATGCAATAAGGAGCCTGAAGCCCGTCAACGCAGTATCTCTGTCAGTGTCCAGCAGGACAGACACAGGCGTCCATTCCCTCTCTAACTCCGCCCACTTTGACCTCCAGCGCAAAAACAAGCCACCATTTCCTGAGGACGTTCTCGTTGAGGCCCTGAATTTCCACCTCAAGACTGAACAAATCAGGTGAATCTCGTATGTAACACAGGGTCATTCAGATTGTACATCTGGACACATTTCTACATAAGCCTGCCACTCTCATCTGAAAACATCTTAGTTTAGCTGGGAAGTTAATTTTTTTCCCAAGAACTTTTTCTCATCATTTTAGTGAATGCAATAAGTTTCTATGACTACATTAGTGATGTTTTGCTACTGAGCTGTGTGTCTTAATGAGACAATTAAGCCACTGCACAACAATAACACATTATCTCTGTCATATGAAATCATAGTGCTCATTTGTCTGAATATTTAATTCAAGTAATGAGACATCAAACGTTTAGACAGAAGCTGTGTTATTCTCATGATAGAAATGTCAGTGTTTGTAATGTGATGAATGCCTGAGGGAATATAGACACCAGTTCCTACTTTTCAGCCTGATCAAAATCACAAGGACTTTATATCTCATTCTGGTTGAGATGTTTCATGTGCTATGATAACATTTACACATGCTCTTAGAAAGTATCACTTCTCTTTCGTCCTGTAAAAAAAAAAAAAAAAGAAGAAGCTGCCTGAATTCTTTCTGGCTCATTTAAACAGTGTTTTCCATGTTTTTTTCCCATTTAAATACAGTGTCAGATGCAGGCTGTTGCATGGAGTATCCATGGCAACCTCTGCATACATTGACGTCATGTACATACCCTCTAACCCCCCTCCAGAATCATCCCATTATCAAAATCAAATCAGAAACATTTGAATATGTTATGTTTGGCCTTCTATTGATTAATGCATATATATTTTGATTCATATATTTTAATGCAGTTGGTTTGAATAGAATATTTGTGTATTTAACTTATTTACTCCCTGCAACTCTTGAAGAGAGAAATGAAGACAACTGTTCTGTAGAAAAAAAACATTGTTTTACACTGTGTTTAAAACTTTAAAGCGCACAAAAAGGAAAACATCCATCCATACATTTATCCTCACATTTATACAACAAAGCATGCATCGCCTGAGGACATGCCTCCAGCAATAAATCACAAACAGCAGTGGATCTGTGTGGCTATGACTCAGCTTAATGTCTGCTCCAACAGTTAGCATCATACAGTTTGGCTTTGGTGAAATATCACTAGGTCACTTGTTGAGCCTTTCAATGAAAAATACATTTTAAAATAGGGCTGTATGTGAATATTTCAAATCCTGGTTGATGGTGTTTGTTTTTTTCCACCGCCTCTTTTTAAAATCGCTCCTGCACACATCTTTGCATTATTCAAAACCCACCGTCAGTTTCTTATGACTACTTTGGTTTGGTCTGCTGTGATGCTCTGTGTTATTCAGACAGCAGCCGTTCTGTGTGAGACAAGAGCGAAGGAGAGAGATTGAGGTACGGATAGTGAGGGATAAAGAGAGCCTGAGTCAGTGAGAGAGGGGCGGGAGGTAAAGAAAGCTCCCAACATCCCACTAATCCGTAGACCTGCAGAGAGAAGGTTAGAAAGGATCATCCCTGCTCCGCTTTATGGTCTGTAGCATCTGTTAATACACACAAACACGCACATCTAGCTAAATTGAAACTACCATCATGATTAGTATGTGAAACCTGCTGAGAAACAGTCAGTATATACACATGTCTTGTTCTCAGTATGGTATAAAGACATACTCTCTAAGTTCAGATCAGAACCATCTTTTCACATCCTACTTGGATGCAACCTAAAACAGTTTTTGTTACAGCAGCAATCACAATTGTAGCTTCGGTCTGCTGCCTCCTGAGATAGAGAGTCAAAGCAAGATTTAAACATAGACTGCACACTGTAAGTAAAAATGAAATGTCTCTTCTGCTTGGCCTTCACTCGTCTTTCTGTGAAAATGGACTTCAATTAGCCTAAAATGAACAGCCCCTTTCCCATAAGGGGAAACTGCTGAATAGCAAAATGGTGCCATTCCAAACAAAGCCTGTTTCCAAATGTGTGAGGCCATGCTTTGTACATTGCTTATGAAAATTTTATGTGTGTGTGTGTGTGTGTGTGTGTGTCTTCTGCTTGGCCTTCACTCGTCTTTCTGTGAAAATGGACTTCAATTAGCCTAAAATGAACAGCCCCTTTCCCATAAGGGGAAACTGCTGAATAGCAAAATGGTGCCATTCCAAACAAAGCCTGTTTCCAAATGTGTGAGGCCATGCTTTGTACATTGCTTATGAAAATTTTATGTGTGTGTGTGTGTGTGTGTGTGTGTGTGTGTGTGTGTGTGTGTGTGTGTGTGTGTGTGTGTGTGTGTGTGTGTGNTGTGTGTGTGTGTGTGTGTGTGTGTGTGTGTGTGTGTGTGTGTGTGTGTGTGTGTGTGTGTGTGTGTGTGTGTGTGTGTGTGTGTGTGTGTGTGTGTGTGGTTTGGGGGCCAGGCGAAGGCTGTCACTTCACATTGGAGCAGGCGCTGGAGGCAGACGCAAGGGTTTCCTCTGCCACGTGTCACACCGAATCTCCTCCCCTGGAAACGTAACCTAGTTTCTTTCACTGTGCACAGGCACACACACACACACACACACACACACACCTAGACTGCACATGCATGTGTACATACATGTGATGTGTATATTTGATCAGCATTGTTCCATCCTCCACTATGTTTACACGCACCTATCGCTTGCCCATTTTCTCTAACGCACAAAACATACACATGCATGACTGCATACTGTGTGCAGGCACAGGCATGTGTGGAGGAACACAATACGGTGCTAGTGTGCTTTGTGCAGTGACAGTCAGACTGGCACAGCTGGCTGCAGCTCTTTGTTCTTTCACTTTACAGATGTACGCATTAAGGATTTCCCACTTGTTACTGTGCAATACATCTTTGACCACTGAACACGTTGTTATAATTTAGAGCATTTACAAAGGAAAGCCTGCAACAACAACCCTGATACTCTTCTCCCATATCTGGAAGCCTTTATGTTTCAGCTTTAAGCGTGGGCTTACTATTTATAAAGACATGATTTTTTTTTTTAAATTGTTATTGGGAATTTACATTCCATCTGTAAAATACCCTTTACATTTCAGTATTTTCGGATTGTTTAAAAAAAAAAAAAAACACTGAATTGTTGTGAAGTAAAGAAGGAATGACTTACCATGTGCCATTTATCTTTATAGAAATAGCATGTTTCCATAAAGACTGCCAGTAAGTTATTTAACAATTTCAAAAAGTTTACAGACTAAATGTTGATTGCTGCAGCACCAGCTATGAATTCTCACTCAGTCCCTTACACTCAATTATCACAAGAGCTGGAAACCACAAAAAGTCTCAAAATTTAGCTACACATCCAAAATATATTCAAACTCTTTTTTTTTTAATTCTTTGTAAATCTTTGATGTTTTATTACTCAGCACAATTTGGTTTATTGTTTCAGCAGGAATGCTTCGCACAAAGTCGAACAGGTAAAGAGCGATTCAAGTACATGAGTAGAGCTCTGATCAGAAATGCCAGTGACATTCTTCAGTCTACTGTAAGAATTCATTCAGACTCATGAATCGATCCACGCTGATTGATTTCATCATAAAAGGAATTTTTTCCCTGCATGCATTACAGTTATTTTATGATCCATCTCTGCCCGTGTGCCTCTGTGTGCACAGACAACACAGGAAGTGTCCACTGTTAGCGGTACGCCTGCTGGAATGACATCAAAGAGCCTCGGCCCCTCAGTCTGTTGTGATGCTAACTGTGTGAGCATAAGCGCTTGGCTCTTCAGGGCTCTTGGCAGCCATTTTAGCTCTTTGACAATGGGTGTGCCTTTGTTTAAAAAGCTGCAACGTTGGCATTTTGGACAATGACTTATGCACAGTTTTTCTTGCTGGCATTACAAAATGTGAGCATGAGCACCATCTGTGTCTGGAGACTTCAGTCAGTCTGAAACATGGTTTGTTGTTGAGTTTTTGTCTGAATATCAAACGTGTAACATTTATTTAAGGGTTTTTTTTTAAGTGTCCCTTTTTTTTTATACCACAATAAAACATCAGGGCAATTTTGTGCAGAGCCTTAGCTGTGTGTTGTATTAATGAATACTATGAATTAGAAATCCCTGCTCATTACAGTTTCACGTGTTTAAAGCTTTTCAGGCCTGAATGGATGTTAGCTTTCACTCCAACTGCCTTTTTCCTTCTTTTCCAGGATCACACGTGCCCACCGTGTGCCTGTTGACTTCCACGCCCGTTTTTATGCCAAGTCTCGTACCTACGTCTACCGGATAGCCCTGGGAATCTCCCAACACTCACTACTTCCCCTCACAGACCACAATCTGTGCTGGAACCTCCGCAACACGTGAGTTATCGTCCCCTCTCTTCATTCTCTCATCTGTCTGTTCATACTTCGTGATGATTTGTGTGTCTGTACCATGGCAACATTGATAATTAGGGCTCTCACTCAATGTGACTTCTGATGAATGAATGAATGAATGATTTCCCTTAAAAGATAAAAATCAAGCTCAGACTCAAGCTCAGTCTAACAAGTAGGTTCCTATACACACACACACACACACACACACACACACACACACACACACACTTACAGACATACCCTCAATAAACTCACGCCAAGCCTTGCAGAAACAATGGCACGTTAAACACATGAATAATCCACACGTGCCATGCCGGAACTGCAAATTAGGGCCAGTCAAACAAAGTGTTTTATCTGAGTCGACATCCCAAAAACAAACAAAGGAGACGGAGGGATAGAGAGGAGGCAGGGATGATATAAAAAGAGGGAAAGAGACGGGGCTTTATAGCCTGGACAATGTTCTTTAAGCTGTGGTTGGACCAGAGGGAGCGTAAAGAAACACATTTCAGAGTGTACGTATGAGCATTTGTCTGCTCTTCTCCACTTTTTGGGGGAAAGTAGGGCAAGATAAGCTGCGGGCTTATACACATGCAGAACAACACCCACGCACATTACCCTGAATGTGTGGTTTTTTTTTTTTTTCACTCTCTTTCCCTCTCCCAACCTTCTCCTTCTCCCTCCCTCTTTCTCTCTCTGGCATCTTGGCTTCTTTATCCCTCTCTCATTTTCAGCATCCATCTCGTCTTTCCACCCCTGAGCATCTCTGCTTCAGCAGCCTCTCTCTGTTCTCTCTTTGATCTGCCTTTCCCTCGTCATCACACCCCCTCCATCTTTCCCGCTGCAAAAAATATTAAACCCCACTTTATTTTAATGCTGAATTTAGTCTTGAAATCTTGCATTTCTTAGAACAAGTGCAGTAATCTGACTCTGAAACAGGAGACATCATGCATGGCTTTACTTTTTTCAAGAATGTTTTGAATATCGCAGCAGAATATTTGAAATCGTTGAAAGATTAATTGTATTATCTAAGCAATCTGAAACAGCCAGCTTTTGTATATAGTATGACAAATAAACTAACCCTAAGCACCACCATGGCAACCCTGCCCCTATAGAAATAATGTTTATATGCAACTAAACTGACTGGATTACATTTTCTATAAATGTAATCAAGATGTGCTGTTAATTCACATATTATGCAAGCGCTAAATACATTGATACTGAGAATATGAGTGTAATGTTCACGACCACGTATTTCTTTTCTGGCAAAATATCAGATCTTGTTGGACAATAGCCACTTGTCTTCTGCATCATTAAAATTTTTTATGGTTATGTTTAGGTTTATGGAAAGAGTGTGGTCTGGTCAGTGCAGAGAAAAGTTCACAGTCAGTTCAGACACAACGTATTTATTCACATTTAACCAAAGCCCTAACCTGACCAAAGCGCTTTTGTTGCCTGAACCTAACCACAGACAGGACCACGGATACAATCCCAGACTCTGGTGTGACAGTCGTGCACTTTTGTACACTCACCATCCGCCCCAAACACTTCCTTGTGAATCCACTGTCATTAAAACATGTGCAGCTTGCTTCCAACAAAATGTCACTTCTGAACATAATCCAACCAGCGATGATTTGAATTGCCTGTTTTACGTGACTAAGAGTTGAAAATGCCAAGATATTCAACGTATAGTGACATAACAAAGAGAAAAGCAGCAAATGATCAAATTGGGGAAATCTGTTTGAAATCTCCTTATACCATATTGGTCAACCTGATTCACTGAACTGAGATCAAACATTTCTTTTTAAAAAAAGTTACATCTTAACAGAAAGAGAGATGAGCTGTTCAGTCATTTTTTGCAGCGCTCAGCCACATCTTCATTCATGGCGAACTCTCTCTTCAAGATTTTAAATTAGTGCATTAAGATTTTAATTAGTGAGTCACTCAGCAAACTCATCTAGTTCCTTGCTCGCTGTATCTCTCTCTCTCTATCTCTCTCTCTCTCTCTCACTCTCTCTCTGTCAGATCATGTTGAAGCAGTGACGGAAGCATGAGACTGTAGAGAATCAGAGCACCGGGCCCGCTCTCGCTCTCTCCCTCAAATGAGCCGGTCGTCGACATGCTCTACTCTCTCACGTGGCTCTGTGCCACAGAAATTTCATATTATATAAATTATTTTTGAGAACAGGGACACAGAGGCCTGAAACCAGTCGTACTTACATTACACCCCAAATGCAGGCCACTCACGGGTCAAATTGCAATATCACGATGACCCTCCCAAAGTTTATTTAAAAAATCTGTCGCCCATAGAAAATGCATTGTTTTTCACGATCACTTATTAAAGAAAAACATCTCTTCTTTTACGTCTCTCATCAGGGAGCTGGATGTGGGAGCCATGCGTGAGGCCGCTGCCCTGCTGGTTGGGACTCACAACTTCAGCAGCTTCAGGGCAGTCAGCTCGGACATGCCTTTTAAGAACCCAGTCAAGACGCTGGATGTGGCCGACATACAGCCAGGAAGTTCTTTTGCACACTCACACTTCCACAGGTGAGCTATAGAAATCTGCACATGCTCTAATTTTTTGATGAAGGTGCATCAATATTTTTTGCAACTGTGTGGAAGCGTATAACATAGACAAGTTTTGGCCTCATAAAGACGTTATTGTGACACGTTTCTGCCAGTTGTTGGTGCTAGGCACAGAGCGAACAGTGGGTTTAGAGCTTTTTCACTTAAAGCAGCATAACACCTTTTAAATCTCTCTTATTGACATGTTTCTAACAGCTAACAGTGTTGGCAGTAACTTCATATTCATTGGTCAGATATGAGAATGGTATCAGTCTTCTCATCTAACTCTTAGCAAGAAAGTGAATAAACATACTGCATTTCCTAAATGTCAAACTATCTATTTAAAAGAATCTATGCAGAGGTACATGGAACATTATCTGTGTGTTTCAAAGCATCTCTAGTGACTCATTCTGGTTGGTTCGGGTGCCCCGCAAGGACAGGGTGAAATTTAGGGGCAGAGCTTGAAACTCTGAGCCCATTGCGCTACCCGAGTGAGGTTTATTGCTGGCAGGTGAAAAGAAGCAGCAGAGGTAGCGCATGGCTGTCTGCAGCCAACAGTGGAGTTAGCAATAATACGGTGACAGGGGAACTGATTATTCCAAATCAGAGGGAAAAAATGGAAAAGAAAGCAATTATACATGTGTTTTTCCACTTCTTCGATCTTGTTTCTCCATCTTGCATCAACTGCTGCTGAAGAAGTTGGCCAAAAGTTTTGAATCATTTACAGTCACTCCACTCATCCAGCTCTACATGTACAGCCTAGAAAATCTTCCTTTCAAGCTTCAGTCAGTCAGTGGAGTGTTTGATGTGAATCACAGGTCAAACACACTCAGATCTCATCTTTTCCAAATGGAGTGTTGACAAACTGAAGTGTGTGTGAGAACTGAATCATATCCAGTTCAGAGCAGCTCATCCTTCACTGACTAAAATTATACACATCACTGCAAAATATGTTTTTTTATCATTAAAGTAACAAAAGGTGCATCATAGCAAGTACTTACTTACTATCATTATAGGACAAGTGATTCATGCAATCTGACAAATAAATTCATGACACACATTAGATCATACAGGTAGAAACTCTTTTGTTTTTGTTAATTAATGTGCTGTGTGTTATTGCAGGTTTATACACTTCAGACAAGATCCAATATAATCCATAGCAGAGATGGAGGTGGGGGGGGTGGGAGAGAGGGGTGGCCATGTGGGTTTTGTGAGATTACACCTCCATGGGGGTTGATGTACATGCCAAATACCACTTTCATGGGCATTAATTATTTGCCCTGAAAATATGGTGCACAAGATGGACATGGGCAGCAGCTCTCAGACTAAATGTCACATAGTCCCTTAACCCCAACACAAGTGGTGCATTAAGCTGTGAGGATCAGGCTTACAGATCTGTAATGCATTGTAAAGTGTATTTGCACTAAAGTGTCCATTGTTGCATTTTTTACCAAATGAAAACCGTTTCCCTCTTTTATTCTCATGAATGGCCAGATGTGGGCTAACTTTAGTCTCAGCCAGGTTTTGGCCTTAGGGAAAGCCAGCGACTTGAGTTGTATGTTTATTTTTTCATGAGGGTCACTATTCTAAGTAACAGTGATAAAACTAGAAGAAACTGAGTGGTGAATTATTGAAAAGCCAAAGGTTGAACTACATTTTTGATCCTAAAACAGGCAGCTGTGTGGTATGTGAGGCTGAGTTCTTTGTTCTCCATTCAACATGGAAAAAATGGGATATTTCTTTCCTCCCCAGAAATGGTTGATCTCATTGTCATACATAAGTAAACAGTGTTCCATCTCAGAGCTTTGTGGTGGCCATACTGTACATTCACTGTAGGACTGCGCTCACTTCTGGGTGGGACTTATTGTTAATTTAATTAGTATCAATAATTTAGGCTGAGTAATAAGTACAGGTAGGATATCGCAGAATTCTTTGGCTGTATTCTAAATTTTTATTATATACGTGTACAGTATTGTAGGAATTAAGTTTTCACATTCTTCTTCTACCTTGTGCAATACATACTTGCCTTGCACTTTATTATAGGCTCCAAATATTAAACATCCTTCTCCTTTAAATGCTAAGGTCACAACCTGCAATTATTTTCACGATAAATTAATTTGAATGTCTCAACAACTATTGGATGGGTTACCATGGATTTTGGTACAGGTATTCATGTTCCTCTCAGAATGAACTGTAACAGCTTTGGTGATCCCTTAAAGGTGCTAGATGTAAGTTTTTGTTGTTGCTACATAGCCAATGTTAGCATTAACAGCTGTTTACTTACCAGTCTAGAAGAAAGGTTGTGAGTTTAGCATCAAGCTTCATTCCTTTACTTGCCACGAGCTGGCTCCAGTGGTGGAAAGCAACACCAGTGTTGACTCCTGTTTCCATCACTTCTTTTCTTCTACTGAAGTTAGCATGCTAACCAGCTAGCCCCAGTTCAACCGGACCGTCTTGTCACTTTCCGATAGCGAGTCACTGTAGTGTCCACTCTGCCCACAGGCTGCCACTACCTACTAGTGCCACGAGGGGGATCCTGGTCTTACTGTTTTTAATTATGAGACCTGAATGTGGAAGTATACAGAGCTGAATTTTCAGTGAGGATCAAATTTAGTTTCAGAGCAAATGAATTCAATTTCATAATATGACATCCAGCTTCAAGTTCATTGGAATTCAGCTCTGAACAATTTCAAATTATGCTATTCAGATTGTTTTTCAATGCAACTGTTCAAGTTGAGGAATTCAGATTAAAATCTGTGTGATTCAAATTCAGTTTCTAGTGACACATATTCCTGCCCATATTTTGTCATTACTGTCATTATCATGTCAAGAAATCAGTCAGAGAAGACACTCAAACACAGAGACAGATGTGTGACTGCAACATTTGCCTTGCTCCAGCCTCATCTAAAAGATATTGTCCCTCACCAGAGTCCATAAGCTAACAGCCCTGCTGTATAAATCTGTCTCTGCACTCCTTACATGTCAAATGTAATCAGACAGCAAGCGCTGAGTCAAATTTGCATTTGACCCAATTCTTCCTGTGTGCCTGTTTGCTCAGTTCACTCTTTTCTCCCCAAAATATCAAGTCTGTCAGATTTGGGGAAACAGGCTGCTGTGACTTAAACACTGAAGCCACAAGCATCAGTAAAAAGTAAAATTGAATGTCAAATTACCAAAAAAAAAAAAACCCAAAACAAAAAAAAAAACAGATTCATGTTTTCAATGGTATTACACATAATCCTGTTGGGCCTTGGCTGCAGTGGTGTATTCAGCATGTGACATTTAAACAAATCTTTGCACGAGGAGAGTCCCGGACTCATTTGATGTCTGGCATAAAAATGAATGTCACATCAGCCTCCAACTCTGTTTACACAGTGGAGGGAAGCATTGAAATGTGTAACAAAAGAGAGATAAAGTAGAGACACATAACAGACACGAGGCAGGAGTCTTTTTCAGTTGAAAAGAGTAATTTTAGATTTTTGTCAGGTCCAGGGAAATACATTTTTAAAGAAACGTTTAATTTAGTTTTTTCTCCTCCCATATAGCAACAGAATAATTTTGTACTGCATCTGACAGGCATTGATGATAGTTTTTGCTCGTGAAGTGACACTTAAACCCTGTGGCAATATTTAACCTTTCTGTATTATGGCACATTCAGTCAGTGATGCCAAGTAGACTTCATGCCTTCAACAACTGATGTTATTAATGTAATGTTTCATGAGAAGTGTTGTGGATGTGCCTTAAAGCCTTTGGGCACCTTTCGTCCATTATGCAGACACCACAAAAAAATAAACTGCGGTGATTTTAAATGACTGTATATTAGTACTTATTTACTATGCACTTACCATTTACGAAAATTTAACAGTAGTTTTGTTTCTTTTTCAGGGACATCCCGATTTGGGAACTGACTTTTAGGAGCAGGTCTTTCCTCTACAGACAGGTGTGTTTCCTTTAAATCTCCTCAATTTCTTAAAAATACCTGATATATTTCTGTTAATGTCCCTATGTGTGTTTGTGCTGCAGTTCACTGTGAGTACATATTGCCATCTGCTGGTGATGACTGAAAAATATGGATCATAAATAAGGATCATTCAGCCTAAAATGTTAAAAGTGTCAAATCTTTTTCCCACTGATATTGTGGTATTATCAGTGTATGTTAGTGTAAAAATGTGTCTCTTTTACCCTATGCTCCAGGTGCGGAGGATGACAGGGGCCCTGGTGGCAGTAGGCCAGGGGAAGCTCTCACTGCCCCAGCTTATGGGCATATTGGAGGCTCAGGACTCTCTTGCCTACCCAAACAACATGGCTGCTCCAGCCCATGGCCTCTTCCTCACCAGGGTGGACTACAAAGACTCAGGTGAGGAGGCTTGAAAACAAACTGTTGCATACAGCAGCTCCCCTAAGATGATAAAATGTGATTGTGTCAATTCAGGACATTCAGATTTATTATCTCTTCTTCTCTGCCTCCTTAGACCTGCAGCTTTCTCAACAGATGTCAGAGGAGCAACTTCTCTCCACTGGAAAGTCAGAGGAGTAATTCTACTTGAACAATTAATTAATCTTTATGTATTTCTATTCTACTGTATGTAATTATTGTAATAAAGTTTTTGTCTTTATATGTATATTTTTTCTTTACTGATAAAACACGACAGCTTGACTAAGTCAGTGGCCTCTAGTACATTTCCACACTTCCACAAATATGCATTAGACTACATACAGATGGACATCTATATGTTCTTTTAATTCAACATATTAAGAATACATAACTGTGTCCATGAACGCAGCTCAGCTACAGAATACCACACACCTTGACCCTATCATTGTCTACACATTACCTTCAGGTTACAACAGACAACTTGCTTTAAGCCTGGTTAGGCAGTATTACTCTTATGTATACATGTATGAACTGGGTTTTGTAGGTTCTCACAATTATCAAACAAGGTATACAACATGTGGAGAAGAGTGTTAAGCTCTATAGCCAAAACTGCTTTGTGTCCATGGCTCTCGTACAGTGGTATTACATTATGGATCAACAAAGTGCACACACTCTCGTTGATAATGTATACATCCAAATGTCCAAATAAAACTGCATACACTGCTTCTTTAGCCAAAAGTCTTCACAGACTTTTCTTGTGGACTTTTAGCACACACTTGCTTCTAATTTGGCTGCATCTGCTCACTGAGTGGAGTGATTTTCAGCAAGTTGTCCGTAAACAGTCCATTAAAACCGGACTACCACCGGCAGTCTTCTCGGTGCCGGTGGCAGCCAGATGAGGTTTGTAGAAGGTTCAGATTGACCAATCACTGCCCTTAATGTTCCAGCGCATTGATCAAATACACCAGACATCACACCGTTTCCTTAATTTTGTCCAGTCACCCACTGATGCAAGGTTAACTGATTTAGGCTCACCATATTCGAAGTGCTGCGTCTGTCAAAATTGAACCTCATGAGGAATGTTTTTGCACTTCTTAGAAGTGTCAATAATTCAGTCACACTATTTCTTTAACCTAAAAATTTTAAATATGTACACAAGTACATGTTTCCTATCCATGCGACCATGTTGGAGCAACACAGTGAATCTGATTGGCATAGGTCCTCTGGTCCTCAAGTCAATTCAGCATTTGGTTTTAAGAAGATAATTCACACATCCTAAAGACGCCCATAATTCAATATATAATCAAAATTTCAAGTGTTAGTCAGAATATTAAGCCCAATGTCTTAGAATATCAATAACAAAATCATATGTATATATAATGCACTTGAGGAAGGCATTGCGTATATTTTTAAACTCACAATCCTTAGTAACAGCACAGTCTGGGTGAAGAATGTAGCTGAGCTAAAGTCAAACTGGAGACCCTGATTGAAAAGATTGTGTGGGACAGTGAGACACAAAGGGATACTGATCACATCAGACCTTAATGGCCACATTTGTAATTAAAATGAGGTTTTACGAGACAGATGAAGGAAAAAAAGAAGACTAATGATTAATACTCAGCAGTGGCGCCAAGCCGTGTCCTGACAATGGCCGTAATAGTTTTTAAAATGACATAGATAACACACGTGTAAGATGTGTGGTTGGCTGATGATTGCTTATTGGTTAAACACAGAAACACCGAAATGTCCATGACTTGGAGTTAGTAGTGTATTATCACTCTAGGCAGCCTTTTTTTGGCATTTGACTACACACCCTGATGCTAAAGCTGAGGTTAATTCGGGATTAATTCGTGTTATGTGAATACAGGTCGACAGTATTTGATAATAGCTATCACAGGTTGATAAGTTTGCATAGACCCTTGAAACCCAACCACCATCATCTCGATAACATAATCTTAATGATTAAACTACCACTCGGAGCAGCATACCCAACTTCACCCTTTGTACGGATTTTGGTAGATTAAACAAAAGCACAACAAAAGCTGTAATAGTCTACATGATATGGTTACATTCAGTTATACTTTTGTTCTTTAAAATTAAAGAAAAGTGGCACATAGAAATTGTTATTTCTCTATTGGGGTTGTTGTGAATCTCTTTAACAGCTTGTATCATGCCACCACTACAGCGAACACCAAAAAGTGTTTTTTAATCCATGTGTATTCAGTGAAACAGAGTCAACTATGCCTGCTTTTGCAGCATCACGATACACAGCAATAAACTCATAGACTTTATTTAAAGAAGTACAAAGAGTGAAATGGGTATGTTCCAGAGACTTTTACAAAACACTCGTCTGAGAGGAGACATATCCACGCGTAAACATATGCTGTGTTTGTGGTTTTGCCCTCTCTCCTCTGACGGCTAAAAAAAATAAAAGCATAAAACACTGTAGGAGCGTACAGTCCTTGGAGAGCGAAGAGGGGAAGGGAAGTCGGGTCGGTGTCCTTCATGCGATCACGACCTTCTCTTTAGCTGGCGATTTTCTCAATTTCGTCCAGATCATCCGTGTCTAGTTTTTCAATCTTTTTATCTGAAGAGGGAAAGATCACAGAACATGGAGGGGCTCATTTAGAAAGTCTGGCATAATGGCGAATCAGCAGCCTGAAAAGAACCATCTCCCCAAATCAAATAAATTATAAATAAGTTTTTAAGACAAAGAATAATACATATGGTATTTATATAATTAAATAACTTCTATCATGATTAAGCTTATGAAAAGTCTGCCAGAGAGATTCACTGTTCAAACTTGATCTTGTTTATGTGTAGAAGACAGAAAAGTGTGTGTAGCTGCTGTCATCTTACTGAAATGCTCCTGGATCCTGTTGAGGATGTTCATGCTCATCTTGCTGTCCACCATGTTGATGGCCAGTCCCCTTTTGCCAAATCGACCTGTGCGGCCAATCCTGTGCAGGTATGTCTCATTGTCAGGGTTACCATCTTTGTCCACTGGTAAGTCAAAGTTGATCACCACGGAAACCTGCTCGACATCAATACCTGAATGTAAGACAAGCAGGGCGACAGAGTTATTATTTACAATAATTGTAGTCACATTGTTGTCTTCAGTCAACAATCCTATATTCAAAAAGTGCTGAGTTTTCCAGTTACAGAACTAAGGCTTCATCTCTTCATCTTTGCTGGTTGTTCTTTAAGTCTATAACAGCAGCAGGCCGAGGAAGTGAGTGAAGCGTACACCCATGAAGAAAAGAGCAAGCAGTGTGCGTGGTCATGTTATGTGTAAACATGACATTGTCTGTGGAACCATTGGTTCATCATTTCAGGCAAAGAGCAGGCTTGCAATGGGAACACTGTGTGGCCACACCACAGAGAACTGGACACTGTGCTGAGATCATTGATCGGGCTCAGGTGCTACAGTTGCGTATTCTTAATGAGTACCAAGTAGCACAGTACTTTTTTTTTTTTTTTTAAAGTCAAAGAGAATAAATTGACCTTAACATCCACTTTTCTACATTTTATCTCTAAATCCCAGTTTTCTCTGTGCTACACGCCCTGCCTTTGATTTTTGAAAAGATCTGTCTCATATGCAAAGCTGTCATTAAATAAGAGAATGTACAAGTAACAGCTAAATAAAAGTTATAATCACATCATGTTTATTCTTCCTGTTCTAATAGCACATGGTGCTTACCTCGAGCACAAACATTTGTAGTAACCAGGACCTTCTCCTTGCCGTCCCTGAAGCGTTCAATGACAGCAGCCCTCTGCTCCACCTGCATCTCTCCACTGAGCAGCGCCACCTGGTGGCCTTCTCTGGACAGCTCCCCTGCCAGCCAGCCTGCAGTCTTCCTTGTCTGGATCACAAAGAGAGAGGAGTGTGCCGAAGCTATTTCAACAGCCAACTAGGTACTTGTGTAACACAAGGCTAAATAGGAAATAGTAGCTTTATCTACAGGAAGACTCAGGGCATAAAAACACCCCGATGAAGGCTGAGGATAAAAAGGTACAGTCAAACTTATATGTGAACTCACATGGCAAAAGATCATGGCCTGAGCGATGGTGATGGCGCCGTAGATGTTGCAGAGCGCTTGGAACTTCTCCTCCTTGCTGTTACACAATACATAGTACTGTTTGATAGTATCCAGCGTCTCCTCCTCTCTCTTCAGCTTGATGATGTTGGGGTCAGGCACGATACGCTGGGCGAAGTTCCACACCGTTTCTTCAAACGTGGCTGAGAACAGCAACATTTGGCAGTTTTTAGGCAGCATCCTGTGTGATGGGGAAGAGAGGAGCGAAAGGTCAGCAGCTGCAGACTGAAGGGTTAGAGTGATCAAAATTTCACACTGTACATCACAGAGACTCAACTTCAAAAAAATGTATTTACAAGATAAATGATAAGATTATTGATGAGAATAGATTAACAACATTATCATTGTATCACAACACCATACATGGTCTTATACAGCACTCATGATTTTGTAACTTATCTCAAGAGTTTTTCAAGTTTATCACATTTCACAGTATTTTTATTTCAGATTTTTTCAACTGACCTCTGGATGCGGATGCTCTGGTCCTGGTGACCCTGTGTGGCGATCATGACATCAGCCTCATCCAGCACAAACACCTTGATCTTCTTGGGGTCTATAAACTTGAACTTACTGCACCAGTCCAGCATGGTACCAGGTGTGCCAATAACTATCTGTTCCTGCAGCTTCGAGCCCCGCTGCACTGGAACATTCACAAAAAAACAAGCGCTCATCAACACACAAAGCAATCTCCCAGATGTATGTCTGTTTGCATCAACAGGAACAGTTCAATCTATGACAGTGTACATGCAGCACTGTAAAAAGCAGTGGAGCCTTACATTTATTTCCTCTGATGGCGTAGACTAGTCTGACCTCAGGATAGTGTTTGCCCATCTGCTCGATCACCTTACCAGTCTGAAGTGCCAGTTCATAGGTGGGTGATACACACAGGCACTGATGGAGAGAAATAAAATGAGAGAGATAAATACTAAAATGGTCATTTAGTTCAAGTTATCAGTGTTAAATAATTATTGTGGGAAACAGAATTGGACTGATAGAAAAGAGCAAACAAGAAGAGCATGTATGAAAGGGGTCTCAGATTTTCTCCAAATGGCGAGTCACATTTATCAATTAAGAAGCTCAAGGTTTCAAGATGAGAAATTCTAGAACAGCGAGGTAAGTAAATACTAACCTGTGGATATCTGTTGTTGGGGTCTACAT